CAAACAGAATGCGCGGTGAAATTTGCAGCCGGTATACGCATATTAACAGAAGTTGCGAAACCCAATCCTGAAATTATGATTTTGCCATTTGTCGGTCCTTAAACAGTTGCAGCTTACAGAATGTCGAATTGCGAATTTTTTGAAAAAGCTAGAATAATACAATTTGAAATTTCCAAAAAAAAAGAACGAACTTCGACATCGATATGCTGCTCAAAACCGGTACACGGCACACCCGCTCTTCGAAGTATTGTCTGCGTAGATTGGATGTTGTTTCCGCAGCGCTCGAGCGGTAAATCAAAGCAGTCCGGGATGATTTTATTGATAATTCTGCAAGTGCGCTTTAGACTGATGAGTTTATACATAACTGAGATAGTAGATATGTCCACGCAGTAACTTGTTTAATCAATTCTAGAAACGTAAATATCAAAAGGTGGCTGCTACAATAGCTTGATTAAGACCGTGAAAAAGGCGTTAAGTCGAGGGAGGAGAAGGCGTAAGACTGCGAAAAAGTGACTTTTTCGTTTTTTTTCCGAACAAAACTTTGCTTTGTAGAAATGCTTGCTTCGAGCTTCGGGCCAAAAATAAAAAAATTTTGCAGTGAAGATACGAAATTTAGAAAGGGCTGCGAGGAGAGTCATGATAAACGCCGCATTTTGAGCAAGTAGGAAGCTTCCGAGACTCAGATCCTTCTGTGGGGATGCGGACTAAGTGGAAAAAGAACAAATTCTCCATTTTCAAAGTTTTCCGAGTTTTCGAATCGTAATGTATTGTCCTTTACACTACGGGTTTTTGTACTTCACCATGAGCACTGAAATCTTTGTATTGCTCGCATGCCATAACCTTTTTTTCATTGTACAGTTTCTTTTACAAGTTGTCGGCTTCATGTCAGGATTGCGCGACAGTGGCGTTATCTCAGATAAGGTCTGTCACTGGGGATAACAGTGGAAGAGGGGTAGCAGGGATTTTTGCGGAAACTGATTGCGTCATTTGTTTGTCATAGATACATCTCCAGAACAATGAGGATTATGCGTCGCGCAGTTCGTTTAATTCACCGGAATGTGACCCAATCTGCTAAGTGACCATGTTGGCTCAATAAATTGCGCAAATAGCTCATCTTGACCTTATAAAGGTTAGTACAGATTCTGTATTTAAAGAGGATTCTTTGTTCTGCAATAATTCATAGCACGGTTCTTCAACTATGCAGCTGGCAACTTTTCAGCTCTTCTAATCAATGATGCGTCGCCGGTGGTCAGCCTGCTGGCAATCCTAACGTTCTCATCCTTTCTTGTAAAGATTCCGGACCTGGCAGTTCTCTCAGAAAAAGCGTTTGGCAAAGTTTTAGTTGTTTCTGGATGTAGCTGGCTCGCACTGAGTCGTCCTGAACATTTTACTTCTGTGGCGCACCGCATTAACGAAGGTAAAAAAGGATGCTGAGGAATTATGGATTATATATTGCGCAATTGCTATTACGTCGAAAGCATTGCCAACAGGTGATTGTGGTCTGCTGTGCTGTCACTCGAACTATTTCTCACTTCCAGAAACGGCATGGATTTTGCCGCTTTTAACTTGGCTCAGCTGCACAGTTCCTTTTCTACCCAGTGACGACAATAAAGATTCCTTTATTTACGATAATCTCTGGTCATAAATTGTAATAAATGTATTGTACTTGCGCAAGTGTGATCCGTGACGCAACGAATAAATGAAGTCATCACTGTCAATGAATAATTCCCGACATGTCACCTGTAATAATGCAGAACATCAGTATTAAAAGTTAAAAAAAAGGCAAATTTCCTCCGTATTCACTCTCTACATGAAGGTGGGCCGCTTGGAAGTTATTCAAATGGGGCAGCAAGTGCCAGTAGCAACCATCTACTGATAAGGTTGTCAATGGCTATCTCTTGCTTGGCTGGTATTTTCTTTTAAAAGTCTTAAACAGTAGTCGATTTTACGCTTGCCGGTTCACATATA